TGATCCTGGAGTCCCGGGATCGAGTCCCGCATCGGGCTCCCTGCTCGGCAGGGAGTCTGCTTCTCCCTCTGACCCTCCTCCCTCTCATGGTCTCTCTCATTCTCTCTGTCTCAAATAAATAAATAAAATCTTTAAAAAAAAATAAATAAATAAAATAAGAATTAGATTTCCTTTGTTCTCAGTATATTCCTATCTTACGAGGGATCTGAGCCCAGCCAGCCCATTGAGCCTACACACTCCTGATTTCAGCATCAGCCCTTCATGTAGGCATGATTCGATTTGAAGAAATCTCAGGACCATTTTAAAGTTTCTTATAAGAGGAACTTAGAGTCCTTGGCATATATGCCTGCCTCTCCCCCCCATCTGTTACTTTGATGAAAGGCAGGGAAGCTCAGGGCACCCACATGAAGGGCTATAAAGAGTGTAGAGTGAAGGGAGGAGTTTAGCACCTGAGCCAAAGCCACTTGGTTGAGAGTGATTGGCCCCCTTTCTGGCCCTGATGAGATACTTCAGGGTGTTTTAGCTGCTGGACAACCTATACCTTTCCATCCCCTTGGTAATGGCCGGTGCTTAAGTCCATTTTTTTAGTGACTAAGTCATACTCTGGAGTTTGGCCTTGTGATCCATCTCCTGATAAAGATGAAAGGAGCCTTCACCAAGTAGCTCAAACTGCAAGCTCGTTCCATATCAAATATCAGCCTTTGCCGTCTGTTCCGAGGCCCGAGAACAGCAGGTATGTTTTGAAGGACACGGAAAGCCCACAAGAGAGTACATGTCCACGTGTGTGGCAACGCTCTTTCCTTGCTTACGTCCTAGGGGCTGGAAAGGAGTATTCACCTATGCCTTTTAAGGCTATCTTGCTTGTGCTCTAGATACCAGATAAAGTTTAGTAGGAAAAAAATAATAACAAATGGTAGAAGAGACATAAAATCCAAAGCAGATCAGCTTTTCTTACCTCTTAAGATCTGTATCAGTTTGTTTGGTTTTTTCCCCCGGTTGCATAAATAAGTTAGGGTGTTATTTATAGTAACCTACCACCTTTCCCAATTCTTGCAACCACGGTGCCCTGGCAGGGCTGCCTGGAGGGCTCCTTCGCATGGCCTGGTTTAACCCACAGTCGGGGGCTGAGCTAGCAAGGAGGCCTTTCCTAGGTTTCAGTGGACTACTCTGCAGGCTCCTCATAACCTCTCATAATCCTGCTGAACTAACCTTCCCTTCCAAGCCCATAAAATCATAATTGTGATAAAGTAATAATAATGAGAGGGACACAGAGATTGAATTTAATGATTAATGAAACAAATGACCCAAGAGAGTAAGAACATAAAGTTATATGTTTAATTTTTTTGTTTTTTTTTTTTTATATATATTTTATTTATTTGACAGAGAGAGACACAGCGAGAGAGGGAACACAAGCAGGGG